ACAAATTGGAAAACATCTCCAAGTATTCCTTCGACAGTGCAACTTATGCCACCGAGCTGCAGTTGAGTTACAATCAATTGACCGCTCTTAACCAGGTCAGAATTTTCAGAATGAAAGCCAAGTTCCAACATTTATCGTTGTTATCGAACGAGAATTCCATTTAACGAATCGATAATTGCAGGTACCTCTACACAACATGACAGGATTGAAAGTACTCAACGTGTCTCACAATTCGATCCATTCGGTGCCCCGCCAGACATTTCCAAAATTGTACGAGCTCCACACGATCGACCTGTCCCACAACAATCTCTCCGAGATCCACAATGCCGTCTTTCAAACTTTGTTCAGCCTTCGTTTCTTGAATCTATCTCACAACTCTCTGGACAAGATTAAACCGTCCACGTTCGGACCTTTGGCAACGTTGTTAGAACTGGACATGAGTTACAATCGATTGACCGACGTCGCTCGCAGCAGTTTGACCAGATTGCCGAGTTGCAGGTAACGGATCCGATTTGGATGATTCTTCCTTTTTTTTTTTTACACACACATATATATATATATATACATAAATAAAAGTCACGATGATCGATAGGAGGTTAACGGTGAGAAACAATCGATTAACGAAGATCTTCCAGTTACCGATTTCCCTGGCCAGCCTAGACTTTTCCGAAAATTGGTTGGAGGAGATTCCAACCGTGGACGTGTGGCCCACGATGAACGCTCTCCTCTCGTTGGATCTTGCGGGAAATCGGTTGGCCGACAATCTCAAGCATGGAAGTTTCGAAAACTTGCTCACCTTGAGGACCTTGAACCTGCGCTCCAACAACATGACGAAACCACCTTGGGAGGCGTTGAGCACGCTGACCAGCTTGCAGTACCTCTACATGCAGGTTCGACAAATTATTAACGATCGAGAACGGGGCTAATTTCGATAATTTCAGGAGAACGAATTAACCGAGTTGAGGAAGGCGGCGTTCGGGCGTCTGCCGATAGTGTTCGAGTTGAATCTGGCCGACAATCGGATAGAGAAGGTGAGCGTCCGCGCCTTCGAAGGTTTGCTGCAATTGTTGACGTTGAATCTGACCAACAATAAAATTGCCCGCATCCCGAACGGGGCGTTCCAAGGCCTGGTCTCGTTGAGAACGTTGGATCTTTCTCGCAACGAGTTGGAAAAATTGGACAACAAGACCCACGGCCTTCTCGACGATTGCCTGTCCCTGGAGAGGGTCAATCTCAGCCGCAACAAGATCTCGTTCGTGACCAAGAAAACGTTCCCCAACGATCCTTGGATACCTTATCGGTTGAAGGAGATCGATCTATCCTATAACCTCATGCCCGTATTGACTCACGAGCTCACCACCGGGATGAAGAAGATTCTACGTTTGAACATAAGTCATAACAACGTTAACGAGATTCAAAGATGTGAGTGCGTTCACGCGAGCTGTTATATGTACGGGGCTAGCCACGGGGATAATAGATTGTAATTCGATATTTCCATTTTTTCCTTTCATTCGTTTTCTTCCTTTCTTTCTTTCCTCGCCCGACAGATGTGATTGGAAACTTGACGGCGATACGAACGCTGGATCTTTCTTACAACGAGATCAACGACCTCTCCGAACCGGATATCTTCGAACCTCCAACGAACCTGACTAATCTGTACCTGAGTCACAACCGGCTGACTCACCTGCCGTTGAACAAAATTCTACCGCTGCCAAATTTGAAGATTCTCGACCTGGAGTCCAACTCGATCGGTGTATTCGACGAAGCGTTCATGAAAATCATAAGCAACGGGACGAAAGTACGGTATCGCGGTAAGATGGAATTTATCGTATTTTTTTTTATCCAAAAAGAAAAAAAAGAAAAGAAAAGAAAACGAATCGTATCGTTTCAGGAAATTCGTTGCACTGCGATTGCTACGTGAGGCCTTTGAAGAGGTGGCTGGCCACCCAAACGGAAATACCCGAGGAATGGTCGAACGTTAGCTGCCAGAGCCCTCATTTCCTCGCGAATAAACCATTGTCGGGAATCACGGAGGACTTGATGGGGTGTGGGGAGAGAGACGTGAAGGAGTATCCCGAGTTCGACATCACCCCAGACGTGAAATATCGAGACATCGAGTAGTGAGTATTATATTCGAGAGGATATCACGCACAACTTGGACTCTTCTTGGAAGTGAAAGAATATTTTTTTCCAGCGACGAGGAGGACAAGAGTTGGAAGGCGACTTGGTACGTGACATCGCGGGAGGACATAGGCGATTTTTACGTCGTGGTGAGAGAGTCTGGGAGCGGCAAGTCCGCGATCGAGAAGGATCTCGTGTACAGCGAGAGATCGTTCAAAATTCAGGATCTTCGGGAGACCGGGTCGAGGTACGAGCTGTGCGTCCTTGCAAGAGACTCGGAGGGGAATGTGAAACACTTTCGAAGCTCCCAGTGCAGGACGTTGGCCCACCACCACCTGCTCGACTCCTCCTCCTCGCCGAGGCTGGCCGCGAACCCGAACCTCCTCGTCCTGATCGCCGTGTCCGTGTCACGCATCCTGGCGTGACGATCTTTTTTCCATTATATAACACGTGTAAATAACGATCAAATAGGCTTGTCGGAGTATAATAAGTCGCTCGTGTACATAGTGTACATGTACGTGTATCGCGGTACGAGGACGTTGAACGTCGTACGTATCATATCCTTGTAAAATATATAATCTAATCTCTACAACGAATTTTCCTTTTTTCTTTTTTCCTCTCTGGGAAAGAAAAAGAAGCGTAGCGATTCGTTGAAGAAGGTTGTCGAGAAGGCGAAGGGAGATGGATGATAGACGGTGGTCGAGTTAGTTGGGAGGTGGTGTCGATTAGCGGGCAATTTGTCTTAATAACCCCGAGTCGCTTTATCCCACGAGCCTAATTTCTCCCGCAGATCGTTGTCCCGTCCGCTAATAAAGGCGTTTCTCTCGCAGACCCGGATTGAAAAATTTTCTCAAGGAAGTGAGCGGGCGAGCGAGCGAGCCGCGCTTAGCAAGATGATTTCATTATTCGCGCGTTTTATAATTAGCATCCGCGCGGTTATCCGCACGGAGGATAAGAAGATAAGGGGGGAAGGAGGAGAAGGAGGGGGAGGAGGAGGAGGACGAGGAGGAGGGTGGATGGGGACCTTTCCTCCTAATGAGGCCAAAGTCCCGTGGAAGTTGTCGCTTCCGCAAAACGATCCGGTAGCGAGATTAACGACGCGAGCGCCGATCACGATCATCCACGCGACACGTTTCGTATAATATATGTTAACCCGTCCCGTTGTTTAAGCCTTATTCGATTATACACGAACTATTATAACGTTTAACGTTCTATCTCTCGATTGCGGAACATTTGCGAGATATACGTAACGAGAAGGGACGTAACCATCCCGTTGACGATTAACGGGACTTTGGATCGGTAAACTACTCGCGACGCGCGCGCTCTATCGTCGTCCTCGCGCGATAAAAAAAAAAAAAAAAAAAAGGATAATTTAAAAACGTTTTTAAAAACGTTCACTGTACTTACCGTCGAAGAAGAATAAAATATCTCTTCGAATATTTGCGTTATTTAAGGAGGAGGTGAATTTTCCAATTTCACAAATGACTAATTTTCAAGGGGGGAAAGAAACGCGGATCCTTTGAGAGATTGACACGAAAGTCGGCGGAAAGTAACCTGAGATCGCTACCAAGAGATGGCTACCATCGATTGTCGAATTTTTCGGGAAGAAGAAGGAGGAGGAGAAGGAGAAGGAAGGAGAGTCCAATTAGAGTCCATGGAAGCTCGGTGGAAGTTCGTTACGGAGGCAAACGATTTCTCGTAGCGAGCGTAATCGCAATCGGTCGCTCGTTACGAAATCCTTGGACACTTTCACCTCGGGGGCCGAGGAATGGCGTGGCTCGTCCAAGTACCGTACACGAGCGTGCACGATCGTGCACGATCGTGCACGAGCGGCCACGAACGGCCAGTGTCTATCAAAGACAGACATCCGTTTTTGTCCGTTTTGCTTCGACCATAAGTGCCCCAAGGCTGTTGTTTCGCCTGAATAAACGTCCTTTCATCCTTCCTTTCCTCTCCCCTCCTTTCCCTAACTCTCGCGGTTAACGCGATAATTAATTATCGATCGACCCGGCTATGCCTAGTATATATGTATAAATCACTGGGATCCAGTGTTCGCCCCATCGATATATTCCAATTATTTATTCCGGTTCGGTATCGACGAAGCTCGAGACTCGAGCTAGTTTCATATATATATATATATAGTATACGTATAAATAGAAGTCGAAAAAGAGCGTGGAAGATTCATCCGTGATAAACGATCGACCAGTTTCTTCGAGCCAAACACATTTACATAGTCCACTTTGGGCAGTGACTCACACCAGATCCATGTAAGGCCCAGCGCCCTTCCCTCTCCTCTCGAGCTGCACGCCTACGGCCAGACCACCTTCTCTCCCCTCTTCCCCTGTATACAAGATAATAAAAAGGTTGCAATCCGAGGAGGAGGAACCTCTCGAAAAGGCCGTTTCGTGGCCAACCATTTCGTAAATACCTCGTTAATAAGGCTCGTGGGAGGAGGGAAACGACCACTTCTTTCCCTCTCTAAACGAGACTCTCGTTTCGTATCCGATCCTTTCCACGAACTTTGTGGCGAATCCTTCGGTGAATCGGGATCGATCTCAGGAGAGCGAATTGGAATCCTGGACGAGGATAAGGAGCGGTTGGGAAAAATGGTGGCGCACGAGGTGGCGCGCCACGGATCTCACGTGCGCGCCGTTAAAAAGATGTTGCCCCGTTCCGCGTCCACGTCTCTGGGTCCGGTGTGCGTCGGTGTGCGCGGTTCGAACTCTCCCGCCAGCCGCCGGGCCCGTCAGTGTCTCTCGCGTTCTTGGCCGGGGAACAGCTCTCTCTCCGACTGCGATCCGTCCATCGACCGATCTTTTTCTCTCTCTCTCTCTTTCTCTCTCTCTTTCTCTTCCAGTGTCGCGAGTTTCGAACATCCCGAAACGAAAAGTTGTTCGGTGGAAGTTGTGAGTCGTGGAACGAGCGCGATAAACAAATTCTCGATCCTCGGGGAGGACGATCCAATATAAATGAGACTTTGCCACGGTTAAACCGTTTCTCCCCTCTTTCTCTTCCTTCCTTCCTTCCTTCCTTCCCTCCCTCCCTCCTTCCTTCTTTCCTTCCCTCCTTCGAAACACTTCCTCGCCTCCTCGAAGGATCGATTTCGAGTGAATTGTACGATTGTACGGTGCATCGATTGTAGCAGATGATGGAGACCGGGCCAAGAAGACTGCTCCTCTGGTGGATATACATTTTCGGCGTCGCAGGGGCGAACGGTGAGCAAACCCTTCCGAATTTCGACACGTCACGTGGACGATGGATGGATGGATGCGTGGCTCAAGGCCGACGGACGTTCACTCTACGCGACGACCTCGATGCGGCTCGATTTCTTCGTCTCCCTCTCCCTCTCTCTCTTTCTCGTTCGATCTCGCTTCCCGAATCGAAATCCTTCCTTTCCTGTTCCTTCCCAACAGAAGGAGGAGAGAATATTGTGCGAACTCGTGTACAATAAACCCGTAGTAAATTCTCCCGTGTACGTGATTACAGTAATTGTTGCGCTGTTGACGGAACACGAGGTGAGAAACTTGTGCTTTCGACCGATTCGATTCAATTCGACGAGTGCAGTATTTTTAGATCCCCGGTTTTACAGAGCGGCGAATTTTTCCCTCCCTCTATCGTAGCAATCTCTCGTCGCGTGGAACGTGTGAAAACACGGGAGAAGAGTTGAAGAAAATTGCGTAAGAAGGCTAATAATTGCGCGGTGATTTACGAACGTTGTCCGATGAATCACGCGATCCTTCTCCTCCTCCTCCTCCAGCCGCCCGCTGTATCTCGAGTCGATTCCACGACGAAGGTTTGAAAAAGAAGTTTATCCCTCGAGAAAGAAAGAAAGATCAACCTCGTCGGTTGATTTTGTTTACTCGATTGATTAGAAACAAGTTGGTTTTAAACGCGGAGGATCAAACGCGTTCTTGGAAACGGCGTGGCTCGCGATTCTTTCCGTGGAGAGAAAGAAAGGGAACGCGAGGAGGAAAGTGATTTTCCACGCTTCGAATTACGTTCCGACTCCTTGCCTTGGTTCCGTTCTTCTCGCATCTTTTCAGGATCTTTCGCTCTTCCATAATATAATAACACGTACACGTATTTCTTTTGGAAAGAAAGGAAAAAAATAAGAATAATGAAACGTTTAGAATATTATTATTATATATATATATCTCCCCCACTTTTAACCCTCTTCTTCTCGTTTGCTCTTCTCGTTTTCCGAAACGGTTCGATCGTGCGACAGGTGCTTCTTATCCTCGAATCGGTATCCGTGGAATCCACTCAGCGTTATAAATCCCGGCGGTTGTTGCAAGAAGCCAGCTAAAAATGGTTAAAGGATATAAACTGCATCGTGGTCGTGATTTCGCGTGTGGGAAAAAAAGAAATCGTTGCGAATTCGCCGCTTGGACGTGTCGGCTCGATACGATCGTCCCCCTCGATGGACGAGGGAATGAAAAAGCGTCGATCGAGCGTGACGCGTTCGAACTTCGAGCCACGAAGCGAAACAATAATCGCCAATTGATTTCGAGAAGCGAAACGAGGAATGGTAATGTCGAGCAGCGATGGTGTCGAGAGGATTGAAAAAAAAAAAAAAAAAAAAAGAAAAAAAAAGAATATTTCGCGATTGGAACGCGTTCGATCGCGAGAGAGCGCGTCTCTTTGTATGCAAAGTAAGTACGTGTCGCCGGTGTCGCGTCGTCCGTGTGCGCGCGTGTGAATTCGCTTCGAAGTTTTTTGTTCGCGGCGGTGGGAGGAGGGGGGGGGGAGGAGGAGGAAAAATTGGCGATGTCGGTCGCGTAACATCCGGCGTTGCTTTTCCTCCGAAAGATAAGATCACCGGGTGAAAGAGCGACCGGGAGGAGGGAGGGAAGGAAGAAAAGGAGAGAGGAGAGTGGAAAGAAAGGGAGAAGATGGAATAACGCGGCGGCTTCCCCCTGGGGAAGCGAAGGAGGGCGCGGAGAATGCCTGAGAGGGGGGGCCTGTTGGAATGGGGATCGGAGGTGGGAGTGTGAGAGTGGGAGTGAGGAATCGGTTGGGAGAGGCCATAGGAAAACCGGTTGCCAATCTGCACGGACGTTGGACATCGGCCGCAACAGTGCCGAGAGAAAAGGGTAAAAAGGGTACTCCGGTTTTCAGCAAATCTATCCGATCCCTTTACCCTGCCGTCCGATCCGATTCTCACCATTCGGAAGCAGGAGGGAATACAGGGAGCACGGGGAGTGGAGGAGGAACGAAAGATCGTAATCGTGATCGTGCGGAAGGATTTGCCACGGATTTTGGATAGAAAAAACTTGATCCTTTCGAGTGCCTATCACTTTTTATTTCGGGATTAGAATCCAATTAAAATTACATCGATGATGATTTGTCCGATTCGAGGATCGATCTCCAGCCTTCGATCTTCTTTTTTTCCAACAGGGGGGATTCGGTTCGGGAATTCTTTTTCGCCTGATTTTACACGCGTGTATCACTCGTACCGTCCATTTTTCCCCGCTACTTTGCCGGAATTCTTTAACGGAAAATATCCTGCCTAAAGACGCTCGTTAAAACGTAAAACGAACGGGGAGAGAGAAAGAAATTCCGTCGAGCGAGAAGGCAATTTCGATTCGGTTGTTTCGCGCCTCTGGCTTTAAATTTATCTAAATATAGAAGATAATTATCGATAGGTGGCAACAATCTTGTTGGACGAAGATGATTTTTTTACTGCCCGTCAAACTTATCGTATTCTTTCCATGATTTATTTACGATCCTCGTTCAGTTATAATTCACGGGATATCTCGTCGGGACGTTTTGGTCGAAAGCCTTTTTTTTTCTTCTTCTTCTCCTTTTATTTACGCCTCGATGGCGTGGATATGGCATCGGTGACCTCTTCCCTCGTAGTGGATTTCTACGTCTCCGTAGTTCACGCGGCTGTTCGACCAGCCAAATATGGCGGATACCGGTCGAACCACTCGCGTTGGTGCACGCGTGTCACCGTCACTGCGTGGGCACTCGCGGCTGTGCGTGTGGAGACGAAGGACAGACGGGAGCACCCACGGGCGAATTCCTCCCGGTTCGAATCTCCGTCCTCGTCTCGCTCGTCGTACAAGTCGTAAAGTCGCTTCGCGAATGAATATTAGTCGTAAAAATTGGTTGCCTCGCCTCCGTTTCAGGCAATCGAGAAACGACACCTCGCTGGTTGTCGTTTATCTCTCTCGCGCCTCTTTCCACTCCCCCCCTCACAATCGATCCTTTCCTCGAACCAAACATTTCGAGCATGTTTTCGTACGCCTTCCATCCAGTTTTTTTCCACACTCGCGACGAGGCTGGAGAAGAAGGAGGAGAAGGTGAAACGCATCAGAGACGAGTTCAGTAGTTCGGCTTCAAGGATTTCCACCTACCGGATTTACGCATCTGGGACGTAATTTCCAAGCTGGTCTCGCGTCGTGTGCAATAAACTAGCAATTTTCGAGAAGCGTGGTGTAATCGAGAGCCGTTGTCCGCCGCGTCCTTCCTCTCTACTTGTCTCTTTCAACGGTTGCACTCGCGTAGTCGTTTCCCCATCACTCGAATAACAATCGCCTTCCCTTCCTTCGATATCGTCCATTATCGACACTCGATCTCGCCTTCTGACCTTTTCGGCCGGTCTAACGTTACACGCGACCGCTTCGTTTATTTACCGAAGCTTGTTCGCTCGTTAATCACTCCTCTGTGTGCGCGCATGCGCGTATGTGTATGTGTGTGTGTGTATGCGCGCGTCTCCTTTTTCTTTCACCCTCGATTTTCTTTGACTACTCGAAAGATCGCCAGTCATTCGCGATTCATTGGTGAGAAACGCGATATTTCCATTCCAAGTGGGAATAAACGAATAATCACGATTCCGATCGAAAGGATTCGATCTTTCGACAAAGAGAGAGAGAGAGAGAGAGAGAGAGAGAGAGAGAGAAGAAGAAGTAGTAGAGAAGAGA